CTGTCCCTCAGCCTCCCCACCTGTACACCTGGGGTAACGGCATCCCTCCAGCTTCTGTGAGGGTTTGATGAGATGACACACCTAAGCCCCTGTGGTCAGCGGTGCTCCCCAAAGACCCCTGGGGCCAGGCTCAGAACCTGGAATGTTCTGCCTTCCATGGAAAAGGGACTTGGCAGATGCCAATGAGCCAAGGCTCCTGGGATGGGGAGGTGACCCTGCATCGTCAGGTGGGACAGGGGTCCTCGGAGGGAGACAGAGGGTTGGACCCAGAGAAGGTGACACAGAGGACAAAGGTTGATGTTATGACTGAGATGGATGTGAGACCAGGGGTACAGGTGACTTCTGTGCACTGGAGACACAAAGGATGGATTGTCCCCAGAGCCTCAGAAAGAGCACGGCCCTGTGACACCTTGACCTTAGCTCCAGAGGAGCCACTCCAGACAGACCTGCAGGAGCACAGGATAGGAAGGAACTAGGTACAGCAGCAACAGGAAACTCCGGCTAAGGACAGTGCTGGGACAACAGAAGGCCGTGGGACATGGGCTGTCGGGACCAGCGCCACAGACCCCACCCGCCTTCCCCTGCAGTGCGCCCCCTTGCTCCTGACCCTCTCCCCTGCCCTCTACCTGGCCTTCTTGTTCTGCGGGAAGACATTTTCCATTCCCTCTGCATGGAATGCTCTTTCTCCACAGCCTCCTATAGCTGGCTCTGCCTTCTTGGCTAGTTCAGAGCAAATGCAGGTGTTTAAAAGATGCTTTCCTGCCCCCTCCACTCCCCTAGGTCTCTCCACCTCCCCGTGCCCCCTGGAGTGACGGAACACACATTTATGGTGTCGGTCAGTCTGCCCCTCTAGACAGGGAGCAGAGGAGCGGGGTCCCTGTCTGCCTTGTCGGTCACCATCCCCTGGAACAGCCCCTGGCGCAGAGTCAGCACACAAGCACTGTGTAGAATAAAGAAGCATTTGTGCCCAGGCCGTGCTGTGGGGTCCCAGGCCAGCGCGAGGAAAAAGGCATCTGATTATCTCTCACTCCAGCCTCGGCTGAGCCCAAGTTCCCAGTTGCCTAGAAACTCACCAAGTGTGTTCATTTTTTGATTCCAACCTTTTTGAAAGATAATGTGTTTTTTATCTGCATGTGCAGAGCTGGGCTTTTTAGTTTTAAGAACTGAGGTTGAATGGTGGGCTGTCGTCCTAAACTCCACACCACCCAGAGGAACAAATCTCCATGCTCAAAGCTCAGTAACTGGACAGAAGACCCAAGAAAAGGAACACTGTGGAGGGGAAAAGAAAACGTGTGCTTTCAGAGGGGAAGAAAGGGAAGGGAAGAAACAGAGCCCCTAGTTAGCCCTCCCCCACTGCGGAGACAGCAGAGACGACACCCAAGGAAGGGCAGTCCCCAGGGCTGCATGCTCTCTTCAGACCACCTTGTAAAGGGGGACTTGGGGTTTTGACCCTACACTGCTCTTCTACAAATGGAACTATCAGACACAAATGGCTTCCGTGCCCCAGGGATTTCAACTCCAAAATTTCTATCCATTCCATTTGCTCTTTCCGTTTACCAAAAAGTGAAAATCTGGCACATAGTTTATGCTAAATTAATGATAGTTGCATAGTGAGCAACTGGATGGATAGAAGGGTGGATGAGAGATGGGTAGATGGACAGACGATGCATGAGTGGATGGATGGATGGTGGATGAATAGATAGGTAGATGGATGGGTGGATGGATGAATGGTGGATGGGTGGATGGGTGGGTGGATGGGTGGATGGGTGGATGGGTGGGTGGATGGGTGGAAAGGTGGAGGGCCAGTATTAGTGGGTTTGAGTGGAACATTTGTTGCTTCACAAGACTAGATGATTGGAGTGGGGAGGCTCTTGATGGCTCAGCTTAGCCTCCTGTGGTGACATCAATAAGCCAGGCTCTTTCTCCATGTCTGTCTGTCATACCCAGAGTGCCTCTCATGGGGGCCACAGCTACATCTCCTCACACAGCTGAATCTGGTGAGGGTATCTATGGCACTTCAAGAAGGCAAGAAACATGGCCGCCTTGTTGACAGCTGCTGTTGATGATTAGTCATTACTAATTCTGCCTGATTGTGACCTAACTCAAGGCTTAGTGCTCGACAGGTATCTTGGTCCATTTGTGCTACTACATCAGAATTCCTGAGACCAGGTCATTTACAAGCAATTTGTTTCCTCCTAGCTCTGGAGGTGGGAGGCCCAGGATCCAGGTGCTGCCAGGTTTGGTATCTGGAGAAGATCTGGTCTCTTTGCTGCCAAGATGGCACTGTGCTGCTGGATCCTCTGAAGGAAGGAACACTGTCCTCCCAAGGCGGAAGGGATGCAAAGGCAAAAGGGCTCGTGCCAAGTTCCCCCTGGCCTTTTCAGAAGGAACAACCCTTTCATGGGGCACGGACCTCACAACTTAATCACTGCCCTAAATCACCTGTTAACACTACCACAGTGGGATCGCCTCGTTTCAACTCGAATTCTGGAGGAACACATTCAAACCAAGCATACGGGACTCTGCTGAGCACCCATGGACCAAATACATCACTGCATCCACAATCAGTGGTCCAAACTAATGATTAAGGAATGTCCCTGGACAGAGATCTGACATCCTAGGAAGTAGACCCCTGGGCTGCAGCCTCCTCCCCGCTCCCTGCCCCACCTTCCCCACATCCACTCAGCAGCCACACCGGGCCACCTGCGTCCCTGAGCTCCCGGGCCCTCACGCTCCGCTCACCGCACTCTCTGCTCCTCTGGCCGGGGCTCCCTTCCTTTCTGCCCAGTTACACCCATCTGCCTTCAAGAATGCACAGCAGGCCCCTCCCCTTTCTCCCAGGACTCTCCCTGACAGCGGGCGATGCCCCATGTGACTCTCTCTCCCTCTCTCACTCCAGCCACCTGTCCTATGGCTGTGTCTGTCTCAGCAATGGGACTCCTTCTTTCCTCCGGGACAGCCCATTACCTAGCCTGAGGTAGAACTTCTGTTTAGGCTTCTCCCAAAGTTTGACAATGACCCAAACATGTGGCTGGATAATGCGATGACAATAATAGGATGAAAATATAAAAACTAAATATTATGAAGTGCATGCAATGTGCCAGGCCAGAGTCCAAAGACTGCCTGTGGCGTCTCATTCAGTCCTCAGGAAACTCTACTGAACGACTTGGGTCCTGAGCACTTGCTTGGAAGCCTCACTAAACAGTGACTGAGAGCGGCATGGTCACACCCAACACCACTGCCCTCCCTCCCCAGTACTTCCCAGGTGCAGATGGCTACACCATAAGTGCCCCTGAGTGAAGGTCAGCCAAGTGGGGGCGCTCATGGCCACAGAGATGCAGAGCACACTGCAGCACCGTGGCCTCAAGGGACACTAGACACTCAGCCTGCACCAGCGGGGAGGAAACAGGACAAGCGGTCGGTGACAGAGAGTTCCCCTCGCACAAGCTGCAGGCAGCCACCCAAGGGAGCAGCACCCAGCTCTGTTCACTGGCCTCTGTTCCAGTCACCAAGAAAGAGATGGCTCCCTGGGAAGAGTGGCAGTCCTGGCAAAATACTGTCCAGCCAACCTGCATCTTGACCCCAGGCCACACACTGTCACCCAGCCCTTCATTCACAACCAGGAACTTGTTGCCAGCTCCTCCCCCCAATTCTGCTGTGTCCCCACCCTGAGAGTGACCCTGTGAGTGACATCTCAATCAGCACAGCCCCTGAGTCATGTGGCCCCTTGAGAGACAATGTCACCACTGACCAAAGAGGGCTGGAGTGCTTTTAGCAAAGTCTCTTGGATTCAAGCACAGGGTTCATTCATTCATCCAACAAACATCAACCTGCCACACATTATTACAGGTGTCATGGAGACAAGGGTGGACGAAACTGACCAGGATCCCACCTTCCAGGGGGAAGGTCCCCAGATGAACTCCAACATCAACCAGTGGCAACGTCTGTGAGGACCATAAAATGGGAAGATATGGTCGGAAACAGAAGGGCAGGGAGGGGGCGGAGGGCTGCGAAAGCCCAGGTGGTCGGGGAAGGTGCCTCTCTAACAGCCAAGGTACAGGAAAGGACCAACCCAGGGAGATGCAGGGAGCAGGTGCTCCAGGCCAAGGGCACCCACCAGCATCTCAAGACGGGGGCCTTAATTGTGGATTAATTAATTAATAGGGTTTTCAGCTACAGTTGTCTCAACTCTGGTTTCAAACCTGAGTGACTGATGATCAAAGCAGCCACAGGTTGCCCCAGACCACCTGTGTGTGAGTCCCCAGCAGGAAGGTCAACTCAGTGCAGAATGCTCATTTCCAGGACAGAAGAGCATGGAGCACGTGGCCCTCCCGCGGGCCCACAGCACCCTCCTCTTCAGAACTGGAAGATCATCCATGACTCCATCCTCAGGTGTGGCCCCTGGGCCTTAGGTGTGAGCAGAGTTTCAGCCAAACACAGTAAACCCAGCCACCTACAGGCCCGTGAAGCAAAATCACAGGCAGTTTAACGGCTCTGGGACCCTGTCCAAGTTCAGCTGGGCAGTTCCCAACAAGGCTCTTTTGGTCCATCTGCACATTAAAGTTTGCCAATCCAGGGCCACCTGGGGACTCTCAGGGCAAAGCCAATTGACAAGGGGCTGGTTCCTGGGCACACAGAGCTCTGTCCCCAGCACCACTCCCCCCCCCCCATACATTTCAATAAAACCCTCTCCCCTCAGCGCAGCACTGGGTCCTGACATGCACACAGATGGAGACAATAAAGGACAAGGGCTCCCCAGGAAACCATCCCACAGTCTCCACAAATGAAAAAGGGTTTACACAGTAGACCCCAAACAGCTTCCAGGGGCCATTATGGAAAGCAGGTAAATGAAATGCAGTTTAAGAATATTTTCCTTATTTAAACAACATGCACCAAGTGCATGGGAGAGAAGATGACACTCTGCTCCGTGACATTGGAGTGATCAAAGTACTCAAAGGGAACTTCTCAGCGACACCTCTCTTGAAGCCCCAGCTGCTCACCATTGCAAGAGGGACGATGCCCACAAAGGTCGTCTGGCTGACGAAGATCTCGGAGACCACCAGCTCGCTCATGGAGTCCTCAGCTGGGTACTCCACCTGCCAGGTGATCTGCTGGGCCCCCGCCAAGCCACTGCTGTTGTCAATGCCAAAGTCCACTTGCAGGATCTCGTAGATGGAGCCATTCACTCTGGAAAACAAACACATATTAAAGTTCAGCTTGAAGCACATAACTCAGCACAATGTCAAGGACACAATAAATGGCCCATTCCTCTTTGTCAACCAAGGGAATGATTGCCACCTTCCACACATGACAGTGTTGACAGAGCATGGCCCACTGCCTGGACATCTACAGTGAAAAGGCTAAGAAAGGAGAGACAGAGGGCCAGGCCTGGGTGGCCAAGGGCCACAGGAATCAGGAGCCCAGCAGCTCAGCTCACGGCTCCGCCCCCTCCCTGCCCACCTCATCCTGGCCTGCAGGCTCTCTGGTCACAGGACTGCCCCCATCCACCTGTCCCATCTCCTCCTACACCAAATCTGATCAAGTCTCCACTTTCTCTCTGGTCTTTACCAGAACTAGGAGGCTGCTCCCAACGCCTCCTAGGCTCTCAGCCTTCCCAGGACCTCAGAGAAGCCAAGGGGGAAGTGGAATCCAGGGAGAGGATGTGGAGGCAACTCCGTCTGGTCTGTTATTTGGTGCTGCTAAGTCTTCTCTCTGGTCCTGGGTGAATATAGAGAATGGCCTCCTGGGGCAGGGGTGGGGTCTGCCTGAGAGGGTCGCCCTGCCACACCTCAGGTGGTTCCTGCTCCTCCCTGACTTTCCAGCCTGTGAGATGAACCAGCCCCAGGAGCTGCCGGAGCCCAGTGATGTGTGGAACAGCGATTCAGTCAGTTGTTTCCATCTGTCTCGTGGTTGTACCTGGAATGTTCCCCAAAAGCTCATGTTTTGATCAGATTTGGTCCCCAGTGCAGCATGTCCTGAGGTGGGCTTGGGGGACTGACTGGATCATGGGGCTCTAACCTCATCCATGAGTGAATCCACTGGATGGACTCATAATCTGAATGCACTGCTGGGAGATGGTGGAAACTGAAGGTAGTAGGGCATGGGTCAGGGAAGCAGGTCACTACAGGGGGTGCCTTGGGGACGAAGTCTTGTCCTTGGCTCCTTCCCCTGACCCGACTTCTAGCTGGGCTGCTCTCCTCTGCCACACCCTTCCACCATGATTTTCTGCCTCACCTCCAACTCAAAGCCATGGAGTCAGCCAACCCCAGACGGAGACTTCTGAAACCATGAGCCAAAGCAAACTTTTCCTCCTTGGATTATTCGTATCAGGAATTTTGGTCACATCAGTGTAAAGGTGCTCACACAGCATTAAGAATTTTTTAGAGTACTTTCATCAATGCAGAGGAAGGAGGCCACATGCTCTGTGGGGGCTGGCGCACTCACTGGTAAGTCCTTCTCTAGGGAGAAGGGCTCCTACTGTCCAACAGCCCGCTTCTGACCTGCTCTTGAGGGGCCTTTCAAACTCAGAGAAGGGTCTTGGGGTTCAAAAGTTTGTACTCAAAGTTACGAGCACAACAGTCTCTAAGGGATGAAGATCTGAGTTTCAGCCAGGGACCGTCACCAGGCATGTTCTCCTGGAGTGGAGAGGTGTGTGTGCAGTGTGAGTGTGTGTGAGTGAGTGTGAAAGTGTGTGTTTGAGAGTGCGTGTGAGTGTATAGTGTGGGTATGGTGTGTGAGTGTGTGTGAGTGTAGGTGTGTCTGTGGGAGTGAGTGTGGGTGTGGGGGGTAGGTTGGTGAATGTGTATGTGTGCAGTGAATGACCACGAGAGAGTATGTGAGTGTGTACATGAGTGGGGGGGTAGTGAGAGTGAACGTGCGTGTGGGAGTGTGGGTGTGCTGGGTGGGCATGCAGTGCCCCTGGCCCTGGCCCGCAGCCTGCTCCCCAAGGGACCTGCACTCTGGGAGCCCAGCCCCCTGGGAATTCCTCCTGCAGCGAGGATGGTGCCTCCTCCCTAGGCCAGAGTGGCTGCAGCTCCCACCTGTCAAGGGGGAGGCGTGGGGCCCGAGCTGGTGGCTTGTCCCCAGGCCACATTCAGCCACTGGCAGCTTCACTCACCAGGGCAGCAGATTTCTTCCTAGGAGGGCAGAGGTCACAGGGTCAGGGGGCCTTGACTCCTCCAGCAAGTGTGTCTTTACATGGACTGTTTTTCCCCCACAGACTTCTAGATGGTTCTGAGCCACCAGGACGAGGTGGTGATGTCCTTCCCACCCCCGGGAGTCTTTCTAGAAGTGGGACCACAGAGGCTGCCTCTGGCCTCAGCTGTTCTCTCTTAGGAGCCTCTTTCTGGGCATTAATATTAAAAATGAAGAAAACGCGAGATAAACAGTGAACAATAATCACAGAACAAATGTCAGGGACAGGACCTGTGGGCCACTGGAGACTGAGCCTCCGCCCCTCCCTGGACAGCGAGCACCTGAGGACGCAGTCATGGTGCCGTCACTGTGCCAGGTGGGACCGGCGTGGTGCTTGGAAAGCTGTGGGATTTCAGATGTTGTTTAACTCACTGCACACAAGAAGCTACAGCCGGGGAGTCCTGGGGTGGGTCCTTCTGCCTGGCTGGTAAGTGCTCCGAGGCTCTCCTACAGAGGCTCCTCTCCCACGGCTGAGTGGAAGCCACCAAAGCCCAGGCTTGGCACCACAGTCCCCTCAGCACCCCACCCTTCGCCTTTCAGGGTGGCGTGTGGAGCTCCCCTGTGCCGGGCACCCAGAGCTCACTGGTGGCCAAGAGGTGAGCCCCTGTACTAGTCAGGTAAATTAAAAACTAAGGCAAGTCTGCACCTTGATAAAGGCTATCATAAAAGTAAAATAGAAGAATTAAAACTTTTTAAGGTTGAAATTTTCAATTTTAAAACATTACCATTTATAAATACGATTTTTCATTTTAAAATAGCATATGAACTACAACAGGAAAGGGTGCTCAGGGAATGCCCGGGGAAGGAGCTGACATTTGAGCTGAGACCCAAAAGATGGATGGAAGCCAAACAGATCCTCAGCAAACGTTTGTTGAATAAATGAGTAAATCTATTTTAAGCCAAAAAAACAGGAAAAATGTGTCCCAAGCCATCAGCACGAACACAAGGTGCTAAGTAAAAAAAAAAAGAGCATCCTCAGAACGCCACCCCCTCTGCCACTTGCCAACTGCCCAGGCCTATCCCTGCCTCCCCACCCCATCCTGGCCGGCTCTGCCACAGCCCTTACCCTCGAACGTACTGCCACTAGCTGATGATATCTATCGGCTCTCTCTCTCTCTCTCTCTCTCTCTCTCTCTCTCACACACACACACACACACACACACACACACACACATACACACATGATTTTTCTCCTGTTTTGCCCACTAATGTCTCCCCAGGACCTAGGACATTGCCTGGCCCAAATCAGCGAGTCGGACTGTGCAGCTGCACCCTGGGAGGCCTCAGGGGAACTCGCACCAGTGACAGCAGAGGGGCTGTTCTACAGGTGTCAGGAGGACACAGACCTGCCGTGGACTGGGCCGCTTAAGGAAGGGCAGCCATACAGCCTGCTGTTCACATCCCTTGTGGCCCCCTTCTGTCCCCTCCTGACATCCCTCCTGCTCTCGGAGTCCCCACCAACTCCGGTCTCCCAGGGAGGAAAGGACCAAGCCCTACTGCCCGCCCCTCAGCAGAGCAGAGGCCCTCGCCCGGCGCTCAGCCGCTGGGTTTTCATGCTGATCTGATGAAGGTTTCTCAGAGTCCAGCATGGAGTCCTCCTGCCACTCCTTAGAGGCAGCCCTCCCTCCGCACTGGCATGGTCAAGGCACCCTGCTCCCTCTTGGCACGCTCTGGAGGGCTGCTGCAGGTTGAGGAGCCAGGCACTGGTGGCAGAGAACAAACACTCGGGAGCCCTGAGTTGTCATCAGCACATCACCAAATTGCTATGTCCGTCTCCTTTAAAAACTCCACAGCTGTCCACTGGGACTAGTCCACAGAACAGGCTCCCCTTGCTGCATGGCTGGCAGAGGGGAAGGATAAGCAGAAACCCCAAAGCTGCCACTTGGCCTTGCTGAACTGCCCGTGGCCAAAGCCACGCTTCACTTAACTGTCTCCATGACCTCGTTTTTACACAATTTGAATTAGCTGTCAGTATTTTTTAAAGTGGAGAATCCACAACCAAGGACTAATAATAACAGGACTTCTTGGGGAGGGAGCGAAGGTCAGATAACGCTGTCCCACTCCCCAGAGGTGACGGCCAGCAAGGTAGCAGAGTGCTGGCCACTGCCACGGCACTGAAGCTCTCCAACAGCCTGAATAACTTTGCTCATGTGTCAAATCCCTAAGTCCCTAGAGACATTGTGGCCTTAGAGAAAACACAGTCTGGTTTTGACCTCTAGCAGAAACCTCGTGAGCTGTGTTCCCAGCACACAGGTGATTGTTCATTGAGAATTCATCTCCCAGGCCCTTCCTGTGCATCCACTGGGCAGGACGTGGCCCAGTCTTATCCTGAGACCCCTTTCTCTGCCCTGGCTTTGGACTCAGCAGTCAACCATGACCTCACCTGGATGAGGGACAGCTCTTGGGAATGAGAAAGTCCAACTAGCATATTCCAAACTTGGTTTTGGCTGCTTTTTCAAAGAAAAATATAAACTCTAGGCAGCCATGAGGTGACCTCTTCTGCCAGGTAGGTGAGACCTGAAAACCTAGGTCAGAGTGAAAAGAGGGACAGAAAGGAATAGACCATCCCAGAGCTTCTGGCAGATTCCCATGGTAGCTCCTTGGGTTCCATGAAATACCTCTTTCAAGTTAAATCCTGTTTTCTGAAAGCTAGATTTAATTAGAAATGCCCTCTCTCATCAAATGCCAACCCAATCATTAGCATATCTCTTTACTGCATACCCATGATCTTGTACCTAAATCCATAGTCTAATGACCTGTTATGGTTTAGATGTGAGGTGTCCCCCAAAAGCTCACGTGTGAGACAATGCAAACAGGTTTTAGGAGAAATGGTTGGGTTCTAGCCCTAGCCTAATCAGTGAATTAATCCCTGATGGGATTAACTGGGTGGGAACGGGAGGTGGGTGGGGTGTGGCTGGAGGAAGTGGTTCCTTGGGGACAGGGCTATGGGGTATATATTTTATATCTGGAGAGGGTGGAGTCTCTCTCTCTCT